TACTTCAATAATTATAGTTTTCAAAAATTCACAGTTGCACTGATGCTAGAAGAAAACATATCTTATGGGTGCCTTGACATTGGTCTTGGCATTGAATTTTTGGATGTGACTCCAAAAGGAAAAGTGACAAAAGCAAATATAAACAGGTGGGACTACATCTAACTGAAAGCTTCTGCACAGCAAAAGAAACCATCAATAAAATGAAAAGGCAACTTACTGAATAGGAGAAAATATTTGCAAATCATATATCCAATAAGGGGTTAATATCCAAATATATAAAGAACGCAACTCAATAACGAAAAACCAAACAATTTGATTAAAAAATGGGCAGAGGGACTACATACACATTTTTCCAAAGAAGTCATACAGATGGCCAATAGGTACATGAAAAGATATTCAACATCACTGCTTATTAGGTAGTTTGAAATCAAAACCACAATGAGATATCACCTCACACTTGTTAGAATGGCTGTTATCAAAAAGACAAGAAATAAATGTTGGAGAGGTTGTGGAGAAAAGGGAACCCAAGTACACTGTTGGTGGGAATGCAAACTGGCGCAGCCACTATGAAAACAGTATGGAAGTTCCTCAAAAAATTAAAAATAAATCTCCTATATGATCCCACTATTCCACTTTTGGGTGTATTATCGAAAGAAAATGAAGATACGAGTTTTAAAAGATATGTTTAGTCCTGTGTTCATTGAAGCATTATTTACAGTAGTCAAGATGTGGAAACAACCTGTGCCCACTGATGGATGAATAGATAAAGAAGATGTGGTGTACACACACACACACACAATATGGCGTGATACTCAGCCACCAAAAAGAAATCTTGTCATTTGTGACAAATGGATGGATCTTGAGGGTGTTATGCTAAGTGAAGTAGGTCAAACAAGGAAAGAGAAATACCGTATGATTTCACTTTTATGTGGAATCTAATAAACAAAAAATAAAACAAAACTGAACTCGTGGATACAGAGAACAGACTGGTAGCTATCAGAGGGGAAAGTGTGAAGGGGGTCAATTGTATGGTGATGGATGGTATCGAGACTATTGTGATCACTTTATAGTGTATACAGATATTGAATTATTATGTTGAACACCTAAAACTAATATGACGTTATATGCCACTTTTAACTAAAAAAAAAAAAAAAAAAGCCAATAAGAAAGAACAGAAAGGAAGAAGAAGGAAAGAAAGAAAAACAAACAAAAAAATTGACAAAATAATTTACATTCTACTAGGGACAATCGAGATGGTGATGCTGATGAGGATTATGATAGCAGTCATACAGACTTAAATGCTAGAAAAATGTGAAAATAAGGGCAAATTAAATAAAAATATTTTAAATATCTATATAAAACAAAGAACTTCACCACTAATAACCCCATTGTGACAAAAGTAATAATTAGACTACCTGAGATAATCCAGTGGGAAGGCAGGGAAAGGGGCTACATGGTGCCACCTCTGCAAAACCATATATACTCTGTACTCTCTAGAAGAATTTAGAAAAAATAAGTATTCTCTTGTACATGTTTGTTTGCATGTAAAATTTTTCCAATTATAGCATATAGTATAGAAAAAAGAATAATTTTTTTGGCTTAGGTATTTATTCATTCTTCTTTTAAATCATGTGCCTTGAGTGTCTGACATATATGAGCCACTGTACTCGTTTAGGAAATGGTGAGGAATAGGAGATAGTCTCTACCTTTGAGTTGCTCATAAACTAGTGGGTAAAAATCATGTAAATAAATAATAAAATACATGATAAATGCTTTAAAATAGGTCTTTATCAATTGTTGAGCTGAACAAGAGAAAGGGGTGACTATATGAACATGGGAGATTTAGGGCGAAAGGTTTTATAACCAAAGAGAACCATTTCCTGGCTTTGCAGGAAGATTATAATTCAGTATGTGGAGGAGTAGGGTATTCTAGATATGTGCAGAGCCTGGGCTGTGAAAGAACATAGTGTCTTTGGGGAATAGCCAGTATTCCTATATTGCTGCGTGTGTGGAAGATGGGAGGAAGGGATGGAGTGGTGGAAGCTGGTTGTTGGAGTCAGTTGTATGTAGGACTGGAATTACTCAACTTTATTCACCAGTACAGAGATACTGGTTATTAAAATATTGAATCGCTTTCATGCAGATTGGTAAATTTTATTGAGAGAATACGTTGCCTGATGATGTTGTCTAGGGCCGTCGGTAGGGTGTAGATTATGGGCCCTAGTAACCTTGCTGGTGTGGATTGGTGTGGCCCTGGGAAGTCATCAGTGCTTGCCTGATACTCCGGAGTGTCTTGTTGGTGTTGGAGGCAACGGAACAGGCTGTAGCGCAGGGAGTTTTTGTGCACTATTTTTTGGGGGTGTCCTGAGGCCCAGGGGTTTCATGCCCTGTAGGAAACCCTAGCATTCATATGCTTACGTGACAATGGCATGCAAACAGCATGCCCAACCCTTTACTGCTGCAACAAAGTGCTCCTGGGCACCAGGAACCAATGACTGTCATTTTAATAAGAAGATGTTGGGAAAGGACACCTGGGTGGCTCAGCCGGTTAAGGGTTAAGTGTCTGCCTTCGGCTCAGGTCATGATCCTAGGGTCCTGGGATGGAGTCCCTGCATCGGGCTCCCTGCTCAGCAGGGAGTCTGCTTCTCCTTCTGCCTCCGTGCGTACTCTCTCTCTCTCTCTCCCTCCCTCAAATAAGTAAATAAAAAGTCTTTAAAAAGATAAATTAAAAGTTACATTAAAATCACCTTTTGACGAGTCTCAGATGCCAGTAAAGGCAAAAAACCCTTACTACTCGGTTTTCTTCAACTTTAATAGGAAATCTTATGGAAATGTTTTGGAACCCATGCTTCCAATCTGCCACCAGATTTTGCAGCAGGAATTTACATAACCATGCCATAGCTCAGCCTGTCTCACGATTTACCATATGTTTCAGTATTTCCAATGTTTGCAAACACTCCTTTTTCCCACCCTTTCCAGTTTACATTTCTCAGCTTTGTCCTGGCCTTCACCTCGTAGTTCTCATTCACTTCTGTGATTCATGAATCACCTGCTATAGCCTTCCAGTTTAGAGTCAGTTCTGTACTGGTTCTCTTTCCTGGACCTTTTTCTAGACTATTAACATAGACAGTGCTTAATCCTCACTGTAGAACTCTTGATTCCTCGCGTAGGTTCAGCACTGTCATCTCAGTACTTGTTTTTATGGCTTTGCTCCTTGTCTTTTTCCTCTGTCTAAAAGTGACTGGAATCAGAAACATGATTTAGAGTCAGGCTGGCTCCTGTAACAGTATAAGATAGCAGTTCTAGTAAAAATTTCCCTCTTACGAGTCCTGTTTTTGTCTGGTTAGAATTTAGGGGACTTTCTATAGTCTAAATCTCATCAGTTAAGACAGCTTTATATAAGTCGCTGGATCTTTATGACTGCAAATAAGGCCTTTGCTGCTTACTTTCCTCCTAATCTGGTGTTTCCTTAGCTGGTTTCAAGGAGTCAAGGCGATGCAGTGTGTGTAAGCAACTACGCTTGTCCCGTAAAGGAAAGGCTTTGGCATAAATCAGCTCTGGGTCATAGCCTAATTTGCTAGTTGTGTGACCTTGAGCAAGTCACTTAATTATTGGGACTCTCTGTTGCTTTATCTATAAATAATGCCTGGTTCCTAGGGTTGTGGTGAGAGACAAATATAATGTACCTGGCATACAGAGGATAGGCAATAGACGTTAATAGGAAAAATAAACATTTTGCCTTCTAGGATACTTTTTCTGCTCCTACTCTTGTGCTTGTCATCCCTATCTGAAGTTAGACTCATTTGTTTCTGTGAAGGTCAGTCTTGAGATTAGATGAGACTAGAGTGAGAGGAAGTGAGAACACAGGTGAAATTCATCTGGATATTTGTCCTTGAACATTTTCTTTGCTAAAGGATTTTTGAGATTGTTGGTAATAGCAAATTGCCCTCTTGAGGCTGGAAGTTTAGTTAATCAGAATTTTAAAAGGCTTTTTTTCATAATGTGTAAAAAAGTAGTATTTAAAAAAACTGTTTTGTTTTATAAATTCTGCAAAAAATCTAAGCCCTGCTATGGACCTACCACCTAATTTGACAAGTGTCTATTTCAAGGCTATTCATACCTTTTTCAAATTGATCCAAATAGCAGTACTCCTAAATTTATATTTATTCTCTTTTGATCATCATGTAAAAGAAATCACCATCTTTCAAATACTTTCACATAAAAGGCTGATTACATTATATAGAAATAGAAAATTCAAAGACTATTTTTATCTCAAATTTTACTTAAACTTAATAACAATAGTAGACATTTTTTTAAAAAGATAAAATTCTATATACTCTTGTTTCCCTACGCAACTGTTTGTTTTTATATATTCCCTTACAGTTTTTATCTCTATGCATCAAATGTTTTACATATATATAATTATAGTGAATGTATGATTTTATATTCTGCTTAGTACTTCATTATAAATTTTTTTTTCTTAGTAGAATATTATAGATGTTTTTCCATGAATATATTTTCTCAACCATCTACGTCACCACCTATCACATGCCAGGCATATTCAGTTAAATAGGTTCTCCTCCATTCTAATTTTTAATACTTGCAGAACATTTCATTGCAATTACAACAAAAAGTTCCACATTCCACTATTGATTTTTGCTTTATGTTTTGCCTTTATCTCTGCTCTGGCATTAAGCCAAATATGGGACACAGCCCTATTTCCTGGATTCTAAACTTTTACTCATATCATTAGGCAGCTGTGTTCATAGCATTTCTTTGGAGACTGAGGGATAATGATGATGAGGTTTACATACAGTGATAAGTCAAAACTGAATTAAACTTTCCCATTCTTGAAAAGTCTCTGAGCATTTCCACCCAGTGGGTTCCAACTTGGGCCATATTGTTAACCCTACCTTCTTTTAGCTTACCCTTTCTTTTCTCCCATTTCTTCTTCACTCTCCAATTTCTGTTAATTTTTATACATATCAGGTTAGCTATGTTTTCTTTCTTTCTTTCTTTTTTTTCTTTCAATCTGTTCCCTTGGAGTTCCTCTTCCACCCTGAAGTAGCTTACCAGGGTATGTGTCTAAATGTACATAGTTTCTTCCTAAAGAAA